TCCTGGGCAATACAAGCTCATAGAAAGTCTGTTATTTCATCAAAGGAAAAGGATATGCACAGAGCCTGTTATCTCAAGTGAAGGTTCCCAAACTCTTCAATCCAAACACTTGAATCCCCTAGAACAAAGGGTATTTTCATTGGGTTAGGCCAGAGGAAGAGGACACAAGCTAAAAATGTCCAGTCTTTTTAATCTCCCCTCATATGGAAGCTGTTCCATACCCCTAAACGTTTTAGTTGCCATTGTCTGTAACTTTTCCAATACTAATATATCTTTTTTGAGTTGGGGTAACCACATCTGCACACAACATTCAGCATCTGCACACAACATTTAATTACCATGGATTTATAAAGAGGCCTCATGATATTTTCGGTCTTATTACCTATCCCTTTCCTAATGGTTCCTAACATTCTTTTAGTATTTTGTGTTAGTGCCGCTGTGCGTTGAACAGATGTTTTCAGGGAACTCTCCACATTGATTCCAAAATCTCTTTTTTGAGTGGTAACAGCTAATTTAGACCCAATCTTTTTAGACGCATAGTTGGGATTATGTTTTCCAAAGTGCATTACTTTGCATTTATCAACATTGACTTTCGTCTGCCATTTTGTTGCCCAGTCACCCAGATTTATGAGATTCCTTTGTAACTCTACACACTCTGCTTTGGACTTCACTATCTTTGAGTAATTTTGTATCATCTACTGTTTACCCCCTTTTCCTGATCACTTATGAATATTTTGAACAGTACTGGTCCCAGTACTGACAGATGGGGGACACCACTATTTACCTCTCTCCATTCTGAAAACTGACCATTTATTCCTACCCTTTGTTTCCTATCTTTTAGCCAGTTTCCAATCCATGAGAGCACAATCCCTCTTATCCCAGGAATGCTTATTTTGCTTCAGAGCTTTTGGTGAGGGACCTTGTCAAAGGCTTTCTGAAAGTCTAATTACACTATATCCACTGGATCACCCTTGTCCACGTTTGTTTACCCCCTCAAAGAATTCTAGTAGATTGGTGAGTCATGATTTCCCTTTCCAAAAACCATGTTGGCTCTTCCCCAGCTCATTGTATTCATCTGTGTGTCTGATAATTCTGTTTTTTACTATCATTTCAACCAGTTTGCCTGGTACTGAAGGACCTTTGTGATCATCTATTCTGAAGGGACTACCCCAAAATATTTCTTAGAGGCTATCTTCTAGGAAAACCCTCCCCCAATATTTCTTGATTTAAAAACTTTCCAGGATGGAGAATACATTGGTAAATTGTTGCAATTGTTAATTACTTTCACTGTTAACAATTTACATCTCGTTTCCGGACTGAATTTGTTTAGCTTCAACTTCCAAGCACTAGATCACAAAATACCTTTATTTTCTTGATTGAAGAGCCCATTATTAAATAGTTTTCATCATACATGTACTTAGAAATTGTGATCAAGTCACCCCTTAACATTCTCTTTGTTAAGATAAAGGGATTGAATTTTCTGAGTCTATCGCTATAAAGCATGTTTTCTAATCCTTTCATCATTCCTGTGGCTTTTCTCTGAACCCTCTGCAACTGATCAACATTCTTCCTGAAGTGTGGACACCAGAACTGGAAACAGTACCCAAGATGTGGTCACATCTGGAGGTGCAAAAAATGATCTCTCTAATCCTACTCAAGATTTCCCTCTTTCTGCACCCAAGTTATGTATTAACCCTTTTAGAAACTTTCAGCTGATTACCAATCCACAACCCCGAAATCTTTTTTCAGTGTCACTGCTTCCCAGGATGGAATCCCTCATCCTATAACTGTGGCCAACCTTCTCTGTTCCTAGATCCATACATTTAGATTTAGCTGTATGATTGTTAACTTGTTCCCAGTTTACCAAGTGATCCAAATCCCTCTCTATGAGTGCCCTGTCCCTTAATTTTTGTCACCTGCTAACTTTATAGGTGATGATTGTATGTTTTTTTTTTCAGGTCTTTTATAAAAAGTTTAACTAGTGTCGTAGGACTCCACTAGGTAGAAAGTTGGTGATAGTATTATAGGTCATAGTTCAGCCATTCTGACTGGATCTTAATAGGAATATTAAAGACACCTTTCTTACCGCAGGACTATTCTCCAGGGAAATGTGAAGTATCTGCTGAAAACCATACAACTTTTTTGAAAAAAAAAGCTGAAAAAATTATGATACACAATTTTTAGAAATCTTAATACAGACTCACCATTGTCCTTCTATATTCTCCCTTCATTTCATTAAGGTCTTACCTGGAGAGCTTTGCAGCACCAGGAAAAAGACAGCAAAGAGCAGGTAGAGAATCTTCATGGCTGAAGTTTGACCAGGAGCTCAGTGTTGCTGGAGAGAAGACACTGCAAGATAGAGAGGAGATGGAGAGTCTCTATTTATGGGCTACCAGTGATTGTGAAATACTGATCTGTTGAAATCTTTTTTGAAGCATGTGACATTTACTAAATTTGTGCTGCAATCTGTTTATAATTATCATCATAATTATAATTTATACAAGTATCAGAGGGGAGCCGTGTTAGTCTGGATCTGTAAAAAGCAACAGAGAGTCCTGTGGCACCTTTAAGACTAACAGATATATTGGAGCATCCGACGAAGTGGGCATTCACCCACGAAAGCTTATGATCCAATACATCTGTTAATCTTAAAGGTGCCACAGGACTCTCTGTTATAATTTATACAGCGTCATAAACATTCTGGAGAATTTCAGGGAAACACAGTAATCAACTTCCTGCCTTGTGGAAGTTACAATATGAGTATTTACAACTAGCAAATATCTACTGCCTGATAGAAAGCTCTCTGAAAAAATGGAAAGCCTCCTATTAAATTGAAATGAAGGTCCTTTCGCAGAGAAGAGTTTCAGAACACGACTATACCTTGGAAGCATTTATAGTAAGGCATGTGCATATTGTTTTGTACAATATTTAATCAATATATTACTTGTATTTAAGGAAATTTACTAATTTCATGCTTTAAAACCTATTCCAAAGAGATTAAAATCCTTTTTAAGAGAGATTTATGATAAATAAAGTGAATAAAATTATAAATACTGTGTGCCAGGAATCCACGGATTTTTATTGTGTATCTAAATTGAGGAATTTTACATTTAGTGATGGGAGAAAACCATGAGGTTTCCCTTTCTTTTTTCTCTCATAACAAGCATCAGACTTAATGATAATTATCTAAAGTAGAGACATAAAATGTTAATGCATCAAACATGGGGAAGCCAGTGGCATTTGAACGTGCCAAGCACCTCTCAGGATTTGTCTCATTCTTTCAGGACAGAGAGAACAAGAAGTGATTGGGCTTAAACTGCAGCCAGGGAAATGGAAGAACATTTCTAAGGGTTCTATAGAGCTGTATGACACCTCCAAGTTCCCTGGGGGATTCATTCTAACCAGGGTTCAGAGCCTACAAAATACAACCCCCCGCACAAACCTTCACAGACCCCTTCGCAGACCCCCTCCTATTCACCTTTTTCCTCTTTCCCCCCATTTCCTCCCAATTGGAAGCACCAAATAGAAAAGTTGAGGGGAGTGAATGAAGAATAGAATCCATGAGGAGGAGGACATCCATAGGGCAACAGGGAGCAGTGACAGGGCAGTGAGCTGTCCCTCCCATCTCCCAGTCAGTGCCCTCTATTTCAACTGTCTCTCTGTTGTTGGAAGGTGCTGGTCTTCTCACCTGCTACGTTCTCCACAGAGAAAGGTCAAGGGGCACTGGATGTTTCTCTGCCGAGGGGGGACACAAGGAGCGGGCACGTCAACCTGACTGCCACCTCACACCTATTATTTCCCTGCTATGTTCTTTCCATTCACACAAAGAAGTTAGATAAAAACAGATAGAGCCACTATTGATAATTGCTTTAATTTCTCCTCTATGATTTATAAATATACTTTGGTTAAGGGTATGAACTGTATGCTACTATTCGAGTTTTAAAGATGGTATTTGATTCTATTGATCTAGACAATCTTTGGGCAAAATTAAGAAGGATGGGTATGGATCTAAGACTTCTGAACATTTTGGAGGCTCTGCACCAGAGTGCTGTGGGTCAGGTAAAGGCAATGGAGAATGTTTTCCCAGTGGCTTGGGAAGAACACCAGGGATGCCTTCTAGCACCTCTTGTTATTAATTTATATATTAATGATACAGTGGATGTTATAAAGGAAAATTAATTTTCTCCACCACACATTAAAGGTAGACTTATCTCACTGTTACTATATGCTGTTGACATGGTTGTTTTATCGCAAACTCCATGAGGCATCTTCTGGCTGTTATCTCAATTTTCCTCTTATTTTAAATTCCAAGACCTGGTTCTCATTTATAATGAGACCAAGTCACGATTTCTGGGAAGAAGCATCCGCACATTGAGCGGAAGATCGGAGGCCACCCTGTAGATATGCTCTAATAAATTTGTTAGTCTCTAAGGTGCCACAAGTCCTCCTGTTCTTCTTCCTGTAGAACAAGTCTCTGCTTTGACTTATGTGGGGTTAAAGTTTCATGATTCAGGCAGCTGGTCCCCTTATCATAAAGACTTAAAACAAAAGGCCCTTAGCTCTGTTCAAGGGGTGCTGTGTTTTACCTGATCATATGGTGGGAGCAGAGTTGCCCCAGTGCTAAGAATTTTTAATAATAAAATAATATTGCAGATGCTCTATGAGCATGTCTACATCGTAAAAAAGGAAAAACTGGGGCTGTCCCAAGACAGCTGACTCAGGCTCGTGGGGTTCGGGCTGTGGTGGTTTCATTGCTGTGTAGACTTCTGGGTCCGGCTGCAGCCCAAGCTTTGGGACCGTCCCACCTCACAGAGTCCTAGAGCCCAGGCTGTAGCCCCAGTATCAGACATCTACGCAGCAGTGAAACAGCCCCACAGCCTGAGGCCAGCCACCGGTGTCTAGTTGCTGTGTAGACATTCCCTCTGAGGTCACATTTGAATTAGGGGAT